AATTTCCATTCAGCTAGGTTCTCTCCAACATGATGTTATGAAACAGCTAAGTAAAGTGCAAAATATATCGGTAACTTCTATTGAATTATGCTTGGGTGAATGACTTATTAAACAAAGGATATTATCAATATTACGCCTGTCAGAGATGAAAAAACACATAAAGAAGAAATTGTATAATCTGTTCATTGGTTTATGGACCTGCAGCTATATAAAGGGTGCCACAAATCCATATAATGACCTAGAGTGCTAGATTTTACATTAGATGTGACTTAAGATGAAAGATGTGTAAAATCACATGAAAACAGAGAGCTCTCTGCTGCCTACACATATGAGGAGGTGCCAATATACGAATTACTCTAGCAAGTACATAGATAAGGGCCAACTTCTGACCGCCTTAATGCTCATGTATCTCCACTAGTCTGACATTTGCATAACCCCCATCACAACTAGGGACAGGAAAGGGCAGCATTTAGCACTAAATGTTTTGCATTCATAAGGGGTCAGATTGTAACGTATCCTGTTGAGCCTGTGCAAAGTCTGGAGAAGTAAGGTAAATGGAGCTTCCTCCCATTGTGCAGGAACCAGATACACATGGCAGCCCTAGCATTGTTCTGAGCACAGGCACTTTGCACAGAGTACAAGCCACTCTGTCAGGGGGTGAGTAAACAAGGAGTTGGACATGGCAATCTCTGACACTAAGCACCCTCTATTCACACCCTACACACTCTTGTCATAATCTCTGTACAACATATGCCTCATGAGGAATCATTGGAAAACTAATAACTAATTGATCATTAATATTCTTTTGTGATGTATGTTTGCAGTAGGTATTAAAAGTTATGGATACATGCTAAAAGTATGACTAACGTGTGTTTGAACCAGGCAAACCAGATCTGCCACAGACAAAGGAATATGTCTTCCCCACCTAGGAGTCATTTCCAAAATTCTTGCATGACAATGAGAATGTATTTACATATTGTGTAAACAGAACCATCAAGCTAGCAAGGGCTGGAGGCAAACTTCACCGTAACAAGTGACGGAGGAGAGAACATGGCATCTATGCCCAAGCAACAGAGAGAAGCTGGGTCAGGGTTTTACCTGAGAAAAATCCACTGCTAAGGTTACTGGTGTATAAAGGGCTGAACCTCAAGTGATAAGCAAGTGAATCAACTGATTGAATACAATATTACTGTAGTATAGAGGTGTACCGAATGAGATTTTTTCCACTAATATAATGAGGCAGCGAGGCCTCCCTCCGACCCACTACACAGCCCTTTCTAACTTTATCTTCTATACCTGAACTCACTTAGAATACTGTTCCCTTTTGTAAACACATTTGTGTTACTATTAATCTGAAACATCAGTGCTGCTTGAATTAAAGTGAATGTTAACTCCAGTTTAGGCAAATGTTGGCTACTTTTTAGGGCTATGCACGTCCAGATGTCGGTCCAGACTCACGTAATGAACTAACTATAACTGAACTAACTACCCACTCCGTTCTTGCTGGCAAATGAGAGCTGCCCAGAGAGATGGGTCTGCAAAAGCCCGTAGTGGTATTACTGATGTGACAGGGAGGCTAACTGGTTTTTGTCTTTACATTTTATAAAAAATGTTTCTCAGAGGCACATTCTTTAGATGCTGCATGCACTTTTATTGGAATACATTCTGCCCTTAGATACATGCACCTGCCTCCCATTGACTTTAAGGAGAGACACAAGCGTATATTTGAAGATTGCATGTGGCATGTTGGGTGAACTCCTAGACCCATTAAAATTAATGGCAAGACTTCATTAAGGGCAGGAATTTATCCTTTGTTTTTATTTCTCAAAAACAAAATAGACAACCCCTCCGAAAAGCCTTTGAATGTTGACATCAGCATTGCTGTAGTTAATACGGGGAGGGGAGAAAAAGTAAACACATCGTAACCACGCCTAACCTCCAAAAAGAGATAAAGTGGGGGACAAGAGATTATAATCCTGTTCCTCAGGTAGTAGTCAAGGGCACGAAGTAGAAATAAGGCTCATTTATCATCTTTGGCTTCCCTAATCTCCAGAACAGTCAGGGCCAATTGGGCTCCTAGTACTGGCTAGTGGAACTTCAGTGTTCTCATTTACTTTTCCCTGTGATGGCCAGTTAAGCTAGACTGGCCTGGATGAAGTGCAGCTGAGGTGCAAAGTGTGCAAAGTGATGAGGCAAAGGGACGTCAGAATCTGATACAATGGCTATGTCTAGACTGGCCAGTTTTTCCAGAATATCAGTCACTTTTCCGGAAAAATTTGCCAGTTGTCTACACTGGCTGCTTGAATTTCCGGAAAAGCACTGACGATCTCATGTAAGATTGTCAGTGCTTTTCTGGAAATACTATGCTGCTCCCGTTCGTGCAAAAGTCTTTTTCCAAAAGACTTTTGCGCAAAAGGGCCATTGTAGACAGCACAGTAGTGTTTTCCGCAAAAAAGCCCCAATCGCGAAAATGGCGATCGGGACTTTTTTGCAGAAAAGCGCGTCTAGATTGGCCATGGACACTTTTCCGCAAAAAGTGCGTTTGCGGAAAAGCATTCTGCTAATCTAGACGCGCTTTTCCGAAAATGCTTTAAACGGAAAACTTTTCCGTTAAAATCATTTTCGGAAATTCATGCCAGTCTAGACGTAGCCACCCTGTTTTAAATAAGCACTTTTTCCTCTCACTCTCTTTTTATTTTTTATGAAGATTAATTGTTTTAAGGGACACCTTACCCTACAACCTACATTTTGGCTAGGCAAAACACTCTGAAATTTGATCAGCTAGAGCCACTGATATTTTTGTTTCTAGTTGAGAAACCTTATCTTCACAGTGCTGTACTGTAAATTGTTCCTTTATTTAGCCATCTTCATATAAGCAACACTGCTCTGCTATTATAAACTTCTCTATTTGGATTTATTATCTCAGCAACATCCACTATGTCGATATGGACAGCCACAAACTATAACACACATTATTGAAGACTGCACATGACTCAACTTCCTGGAGGTCTTTGTGCATTGAACACTGCTGATAAGAACACTGTATCTGTGAGAATAAAAATAATCTCAGCAATTCCCAATCATACTCGGGTGAACTTTAACATAAATGATGTCACCCCAGTTGCAAACTCTCTTTCCAGAATTTTTCATGACAAGTAAAACTGGGGTTGGGTTTTTTTCGAACACAGGCCAACATAATCTGGAGATGTCTGAAATCTAATCCAAGTTATCAGACTTCAGGTACAATGTAGTTTAAATAAAAACAACCACCTCTGATGCCAGATTTCATCAGTGTATTCTTTAAAAATCCTTTATGGGATTTCAACTATTTTTCAGATATACTAGTTTCACATATAAATGAATGGGGTACAGCATGATTCAATTACTCTTCTCAGGATAGTATTAAATAGAACCACCATCTTGAGGTCTATAATTTATTTTTAAAGATGTAAGTAGTTTTAGGTACTATGCCTGCTCTTTAGTCTCTCTGCCAGTGTGCTACTTTCAACTGCATTTTTCTGCTTTTGTAAATGCTTTTCTCTCCTCAGTTGCTGTATGGAAAACCTCAAAAGAGAGAGAGAAAGAGAGAGAGAGAGAGAGAGAGAGAGAGAGAGAGAAACTCTGGGAAAATCAACTATCTAGAAGAAAAGTGAAGCCTGATTATGTAAAAGGTCACACACTGTTAAAGTCAAAAGCATGTTTCTCTGTGTCTTTCAGTTTTAATAATTTTAGATGTGATTTGTAACCACAGCAAGGCACCAGGAGTCTGATTTTTAAGTTGCGTTCCTTCAGTGATAGTGTTTAGACACCATGTTACAAGGACAGAAATGACGTAGAACAATTTCTGTGCACGTCAGTATCAAAGCAAAAAAAGAGCAAAACGTTGGTCAAGATAATAACAAAACAATGTTAATGCAAGTCTACAAGACAATATCTACTAAAATAAACATGACTACACAAAATTAATACAAATCTAATATGATTAGAGTCTCTCAGTAAAACCGCCAACTCACAGAAACATCCCCTACTCACACATAACACTGACTTGGGTTGGAAGACCCTCTGAAGTGATATCAGCTGTGCTTCTCTGTCTAAACACAATGAGGTCAAACCTTACTCTGACTTGCACACTGTAGAACTCCACCGGAGGAATAGGATATTTCATGGACTTGTGTGGAATTTCATGGACTTGTGTGGAGACAATGCTTGTGGAGCCAAAACTTTTGTGATCCCAAGATTAAGACTCTCTCCAACTGTACCAGCAGAGGGGCTGACCTAGAATCACAGGACTGGGAGGACTCTTGAGAAGTCATCTTGACCAATTTCCTGCAGACATGGCAGGATTTAAGTATTATCTGGACCACCACTGACAGGTGTTTGTCCAACCTGCTCTTAAATCTCCAATGATGGAGAGTCCACAACTTCCTTAGGCAATTTATTCCAGTGGTTAACCATGCTGACAGTTTTTATAATGTCCAACCTAAACATCCCTTGCTGCAATTTAAGCTAATTGTTTCTTGTCCTATCCTCAGAGTTCAAGAAGAACAATTATTTTTCCTCCTCCTTGTAACAATCTACCTCCAAATCTAATCACATTAAATCTTTAATAATGAACCAAAGGATTACATTTCAGATGATCATTAATTCTATACTTTAAGGTACAGTGGACAATATTCTTGAAAGACGACAAAAGGAGTTTCTTGAAAATGTTCCTTAAATACGCCTCATTATTGACACTGTTGATAATTATGATAGAACTATTTTGGCCTTGTAAATTTAATAAATACCACTATCTTTGTAGGTACACGCCATTTAACGTAATCTAGAACTTCCCAAAATACTGATAACATGTTCCTGTGTAGTTATATGTATTACGTGGTATGATACATCCTCTCACGGGCTTCAATATCACTTTTTTCCCAGGATGTTTTTAACTTATGTAATTTCAATGCAAAATATTTTGGAATTCAAAGCGAAGACTCATCACTAACCCTCCAGCATTCACTATTTAAACAGCTGCACTTCAACTGCAATAGGCGGTTAGGGGTTAACCTGTGGAATTTGAAAATACTTTGCTCTAATTGTGGATCGCATTCACATTTTCTCCCGCTGTGCTAGGACCTTTAAAGTGCTCCTTTTGGAAACTTTTCTTAGATCAGTCTGGCAGATCTGTAAGAGGCTAAAAATCTTTGCAAGTTGCAATGTACAAAATATCTCTTTTGGTCCTCCTGAGTATTGCACATTTTCTAAATAGTGCAACCGAAGTAAGCTATGAATCAAGCAAAGAAGAAATGCCAGGTGCCCACTTTCATTATTCCAGTGAGGAAATCCGTGTGCTCTCTCAAGGTGTTCTAAAGCTTGGAGCTGGGTTAAAAGAGCAGGTTGACTATACCAAAGAGCAAATTACCTCTTTCTTTCGACAGCTCAAGATTTTTAACGACTCTTTGTTAGAATTATTGGAGCAGGTCAGCCTAAATAAGAGGCTGGAAAATGGTCTTATGGAGAAAACACAACAACTTGAAATTAGGAACCAAGTTCTATGCAGGCTCTCTGCAGAGCTCCAGAATCAACTCGCTGAAGTGATGCGCTACAAAATGACTTTCAACACCAGGCTGGAGTTTTTAGAGAAGGAGATAGCGAATGCCCTAAATTACAGGACTAATGCCAGTATCTCAGTGAATATGACTGATATTATGGTAAGTACTGGAGTTTTTAAACAGTTGATCTTTTTAATCTGTCTTTTAGCATGAGTATTTATTTACTTATACCTCACTAAAAGTGGAAATATCAGACATAGGACTGATTTTTAAATCCAGAAATCTATTACAATAGGAGCTGACAACAGACTTGTCTGTTTTGGTCTGCATTGTTTTCTTTATTTAAGGCTTATGTGGTTACATACTATAAGCTGTTCCAGGCAAAGCTGTCTTTATTTTTGTGCATTGTATAGCCTGATAAGTACTAATTATTATTTAGAAACATTAGTGGTAAAGCCATTTACCATATACCATTAAGAGAGGGATAAAACCTGCGGTCCTTATTCCAGCAAAACTCATATTGGCTACACTGAGAATTTAGTCTGCATGAACACTACAAAATTTACCCCCACAATAAATGTTCTATTCTATTTCTGATCATTTTTCCAGCTAAAAAACAAATCACATTGAAGATGCCCTAGTCTTTTTTTTCTTTTCTTTTCTTTCCAACACCTGTTCTACCACTTCTCCTTAGTCTTTTGTGCAAGCTCAAAGCATAAGAATTGATGAGTTGCTTACTGAAGTGGAGCTCCAGCAAGACCAAATGAGTATACAAGATTCACTCATTCAGAAATTACTGAAAAAGGTAGGCTCTTCATATTGTTTCTTCCCCATTCAGCTTTTCACTGCTGGCCTTTGTTTTGAGTTTGGAATAAAATAGAGTTCCACTAAATTAACATTATTATTTATTTATTTTTATTGTGGTAGCATGTAGGAACCCATCATGCAAGGTGCTATACAAGATTTACAAATAGAGGGTCCCTACCTCAAGGGCTTGGCCTGTTATAGGGGAAATACCGATGATATGGTTTATCTAAAAGATCGATGAAATACAAGAGGTCTGCCAAAAATCTTGGCACCAAGAGTTGGGAATTCAAACATTGCCTGGCACTAATCTTCAAAGTACTGTATGAATAACATCAACCCTTGTAACACCTGTTTGCATGGTAGGAATTTTACAAAATGGGATACAGCCACTTACCCATGGCTATGCAGGAAATCAGTGGCAGAGCTGGCTGTATCTCTGGAAGACTGATGCTCATAGTCCCTATAGAAAGAATTTCTCTGTATACTTTATAAATGACTTGCATTAACTCTGTTTCTATAATTCTCTTTCATTTTTAACCATGCTCTGCATTGTTGTTGTCTTTTTTTTCTTTTCCTACACAGGTTAGGCCAAAAAGCAAACTAGCCAGACAGCTGAAGACAAATGGAATCAGGAAGAAAAGGGCAGATTCTTTTGCAAGACAGAACACAACATTATCAGTACATGACAGTATATGAAAGACAGTCAAGGGATTGCAATATTGTATTAGTGATCTATGCAGTGCAATTGCAGATATGCTACTAGAATTTCTATTTTGATTTAGAAGGCTAACATTCAATAAAGCTAGGAGCTATCTTATTCAATATTTTTCTGTTTTAACAAACTGCGTGGCCAACCTGCTGAAAATATCTTAAAAAATATTGTTATTGTAGTGTGAATATGACATTTACGTACTAAATTGCTCCTAACAGAAAGCTTATAGACCAGTAAAAACTAGTTACAAAGCACATATTTTAAACTACCGAGAAAAAGCTAAGACATTTTAGAGCAGTGCATCTGATTTTAAAAAAAAGGGGTTATAGACATTTCTTAGAACTGTGCTTTATCATAAAGTTTATGGAAAAGCATTATTTTATTCAGTTTCTTAGCTGACTGATTTTACTGCACAGTGATCATCATGCCGCATTGTATATTTTTCACCAATTGTGTAAGGCATTCCCTTATGGCATGTCCAGTGTGATGCATCAATTGAAAGCACTGTGATACACAAGATATATGCAGGGGGGATGCTTGTGCTACTGTTTGCTAGACGTTTTCCATGGTTTGTATTACGTTAAGTAACATTTAACAGAAATCATTAATTTATTATTTTAGCATACAAAAAAAAAAGCTCAGTAATTTCAGGAAACCTTACAAACAGGTATGTGTATGTACACACACACACAAAGGGACTGGTGGAACTACTCCTGGACAGTAAAAACAAGAAGCAGGATAAAGGTTTCATATTCTCTTAGCAAACAGGAGTGCTTACGTCACTGCTATTGGCAGAGACCTATAAAGAAGCAGAGAGGTAGCAAGACAGACAAACATAAATGGAGCCTCTGATGACCGGAACTCTGAGTGTACTACTAGAGCAGGCACCCACATTCTTTAATGAAGAGGAATAAAGTTGGGAAATTGAATCCCTCAGAAAGAGAAAGAAACCAGAGTAGCACTAGGTTCCCCAGGACTAATATACATATAGAGGAATGGGAAGGAGTGGTAATATACCTCAGAGAGACACTCTGAACTATTAGCATGATGAGATGTTCTGCCCCAAGAGTATCACACAAATTAGGGCAGCTAAGCCCCCCAACAATACATAGACTATTTGTTGTTTTTTAAGTTTTTCCTGTTACAGACTGTCTGGGCTATTCCTTTGAAATTTATCTGCCCGATGTCCTCTTCCCCCTCCCTCCCCTCCATTATTTATTCTTGGTTCTGGACGTTCAACACTCCGGTCATTTGAAGAAGTAGGCTGTGTCCACAAAAGCTCGTGACACCATCTACATGTTTTGAGTCTTTTAAGTGCTACCAGACTATTAGTCTGTAACAGGAAAACCTTAAAAAACAACAAACTCGGCTACCGCTGTGAAACTTTTAATACATATAGGCTGCGTCTAGACTGGCATAATTTTGTGGAAATACTTTTAACGGAAAAGTTTTTCTGTTAAAAGTATTTCCGCAAAAGAGCGTCTAGATTGGCACAGATGCTTTTGCACAAAAAGTGGTTTTGCGCAAAAGCATCCGTGCCCAGTATAGACGCGCTTTTGCGCAAGAAAGCTCCGATGGCCATTTTAGCCATTGGGCTTTCTTGCGCAAAAAATTAAGGTGCCTGTCTACACTGGCCCTCTTGCGCAAGTATTCTTGCGCAAGAGGGCTTATCTCTGAGCGGGAGCGTCAAAGTATTTGCGCAAGAAGCACTGAATTCTTACATTAGAACGTCAGTGCTCTTGTGCAAATTCAAGCGGCCAGTGTAGACAGCTGGCAAGTTTTGGCACAAAAGCGGCCACTTTTGCGCAAAATCTTGCCAGTCTAGATGCACCCATAATGTCAGAGAGAAGTCCCTCTAATATGGGAACTTGGAGTGTGGGCCAGAGCACATAAATGTTCACCCAGGGCCACACCTCAGTAAAAGCATCACCACCCTAAAAAGTGGCCAAAATAATTGAAGTGGTGAAGATACAACATTCTCTGCTCCTCCCTTCTTTTACAATATGTCATAAAATTAAACCTAAAGTTAGGAGTCTTCTACTTGACCTAGCATTATGCATAAAGTCCAGGACCTATCAGAGGGAGGCATGTCATTGAATTTCCATCCTGTATAGACATAGGAAATTACCAGCCTGTACCGGTTGAACCTCTCTAGTCTGGCACCCCTGGGACCTGACTAGTGCCAAACTAGAGAATTTGCCAGACCACAGCAGGTCAGTATTGTCTAGCAGCATTACCAACACTTCTAATGCTTTCTGGGTTCTTAGAAGACATTTAGGGATAAATTAGAGCTAAATAACAGCGCAGAACACTGAGAGCCAGGACTGGTGGCTGCAAACAAACTTTATGGGACCCCGGGAAACTTGACAACGCCCATGATAAGTGGACATTTAGCTAACTAAAATCATGCTGGACCACAGATGTTGCTGGACCAGAGAGTCCTGGACTAAAGAGATTCAACCTGTAACTGCAAAATCTCCCATTCACTTGTGTATTTTTTGTGTGTGTAGCTATTTCCTCCTCTATATAAAGGACATATAATAACTTACCAGAAAATTATATTCTCTTTCAGTATAAGTCCATGGCACTAGAGAATAAAGCTAGCCAAATGCTTTTTGGGTTGGTTTGTTTATTTTGTTGGTTAGCATTGTTGCCATTCTAATTGTATAAACCACTTAAATTACACTACAAATTGAGAAAAAGACATTAGTTTCCATGCTTCAGACACAACAAATTTCTTCACTATAATGTTCCTGGATCTAGAGTGAAGAAACAGCACCCTCAAGTGGCAGAACAATACAAATACGCATATTTTCATGCCTAAAGCATTTTTACTGATAACATAGCTCCACTTACTGATGGTCAATTTTCCTAGTCCCATAAAATTTTACACTAATGCAGCCCCACTGAAGTTCTTATATCAATGAAAGGAGGGTTTTTCCCAGCATAATTAATCTGCAATCATGCACCTTGATCCTGTGGAGTGCTGAGTTCCCTCACTTCCCATCAAAGTCAACAGGGGTATTTTGAAGGAAGGGTTTCTTTTCAAAATAACCCCTTTTTTTTTCTCGAAATACGACTTTTCAGAAAAGCAGTCGGCCACCATTATGCAAATGAAGCACGGGAAATTCAAATCCACGCTTCATCTGCAATTTTGTTTGTCTGCTTTTGCATTCTTCTCTCGAAGGAGGAATGCAATGTTGACATACCCCAGGAGTTGACAGTGTTGAGTGCCTGCAGGAACAGCCCTAGGAAATCAATGCCAAGGCCATAAAATTGACATGAGCCTCAGGAAGGATAGTTTTTGTGTGAGTGAGTTTCTTTTATTGCAGATTTCTAAGCTTGAGTTCTCCCTCATTCATCTGTCTTTGGGCACAAGTATGTGTGGCATGGGTCCTCAACAGTTTCAGTCAGGGCCCTACCAAAATCACATCCATGAAAAATGTGTCACAGACCATGAAATATAGTCTTCTGTGCTCTTTTACCATATACTATCCTGATTTCATTGTGGGGGGCAGTGTTTCTCAAACAGGGGATCCTGAACCAAAAGAGAGTTGCAGCAGAGGGGTGCAAGTTTATCATGGGAGGAAGAGGGTCGTGGTATTTTGCTGCCTTCAGAGCTGTGTGGCCACAGAGCAGCAGCTGCTGGCCTACAGCCCAGCTCTGAAGGCAGCTAGCACCCTGCCAACAGCAGCAGAGAAGTAAAGCCGGCAATAACATACCAGGCCACCCTTACTTCTGCACCGCTGCCTTCAGAGTTGGGTGGCCAGAGAATGGTGGCTGCTGCCTGATTGCACTGAAGAAAGCAGTGCAAAAATCAGAGCAGCAATGCCATTCCATGCCATTCTTACCTTTGCATTGCTGTTGGTGATAGTGTTCGGACCTGGACTCCTGGCCAGCAACTGCCATTCTCCAGCCATCCAGCCCTGCAGGCAGCACCTCCAGCAGCACAGATCTAAAGGTGGCAATATTGAAATCTGCCTACAATAACTTTGAGGCCCTCCCCTCTCTCCAACAGCTCCCTTTTGGATCAGGGCACCTAAAGCAACAACACTGTGAAATCTCTAATTTAAATATATGACACCATGAAATGTATTATTTAAAAATTCCTATGATTGGGAAATTGTCCATCTTATTACCTTATCATTAGGGTTGTACCAAATTTTCTGGCACATTTTGGTCAGTCTTGTAGTTAAGAATTGGACCCGGAATCGCAAGGTCTGGCTCAGTTTCTGACTCTGACACAGGCTACCTGTGTGATCCTGGGCAAGTCATTTCATCTCCCTGTGGTTTGTGGCCCATCTACACTTGGCACCCGCACTGGCAAGGCTGCTGTGCTCTGGGGTGTGAAAAAAGCACAAACCCTGAATGAGGTAGTTAATCCCCACTGAAGATGGCACTTCCATCAACCTGGCTACTGCCTTTCAGGGAGGTGGATTAATGGGAAAACCCCTAGTGGTATCTACACGGAAGTGCTACTGCAGCTGTGTCACTGTAGTATTGCAAGTGTAGACAAGCCTTCTGTTTCCCATCCATAAAATGATGAGAATGTCTTCTCTCCTTTGCCTGTCTTGTCTGTGTAGCTTATGTCTTTGGGGCAAGGATTGTATCTCACTATGGCTACGTCTAGACTGAAGAGCTTTTCCAAGATACCAAAGGTATCCCGGAAAAGCTATGCCACATCTAAGGAACATGTCCGCTTTTTCAGAAAATTTTCTGAAAAAGTGGATGCGCTCTTTCACCATCCCTGTAAACCTCGTTTCACAAGGAAGAAGGGATGGCTCAAAAGAGGTTTTTCCTAAATTTGGCACCATGTAGACATGCCAAATTCAGAAAAACCTTTTGAAAGAAAAGCGGGAAAAGATATGCAAATTGTGACTTTTCTTTGTAGTGTAGACGTAGCCATTATGTGTAACAACAATACCTGGCACAATAATGCTCACCTCAATCTGAGCTGAGGCCTCTAGGCCCTACAGTAATACAAACAAATAACAAATAACAACAACACTAATAACAATGAACTCTTGCCACCCTTATGTTTTCACTCATCTCCCCTCTGTTACATGGCTCAACGCAGCTAAAGACAAGGATCAACGCAAATGTAGATATTAAATATAAATTCATAGATATACTTGCTTAACTAGGTTACTTAACATGCTTTGGCAAGAGACAAACACTAATCTCAGTCTGTGACCTTGTCCACATTGATTTCTTAGGTTTATGTTCAACGTGGCCTTTGTTCACCCTCTCTCCTGCCTTTAGAGAACCTGGATCTCTGCCAATCTGCTTCAAAAAGTTATTAAACTTTCCATTTCTTTATTCAGCTTCTCTTCTCCCTGAGACTCAGGGACCTCTGGCTGCCAACTGGCAGAGGCCATGGAGGATGCATAGGGCTTTACAGGGATTCCCTGGTTCAGATCTATGCATATTACGTTCACCAAAGGGTGGAATATGAAGCCTATCAATAGCCATTAGCCCACTGCTTGTCATAACCATTCTGAAAGATATGGACAGATAGTAGATCAGAAGTTATGTATCTATATTGGAAATTATATTCCCAAAACCTTGAGAGTTAAGGCGGGCGTCCCAAGAAACAAGTTCCTTTTGAGCAGGAGGTAGCAGATGCTTCTCAACCCTTCTCAGGTCTCACAACATAAACCTAGTTGCATACAGAGCCAAGTGCTAATTAAAAGACTGCAAAGTGGACCAGAGAGTGAGGTCCCAGGAAAAAAAACATCAGTAGAGGTGTCCTGTTTATGAAAAAGCACAAAGGACTGTCCTGATAGTCCCAATGGTACCAAGAGACCACCCATCTTTCACCTGGGAGACAAGTGGACAGCATGGTTTGCTTCATAAAAGGATGATCACAGCCAAGTCCAGCTGTAAGATGCTGGAGGGTGAGCATTTCTCTATTAAACAGAGAAATATCTAGTCTGGGCTCTAGAATGCACAAGTTTTTATTTTACAGATAACCATTTGTTTCCAGTGCTTCTACTTGCTTTTCCTCAAATCCCTGTACTATGTTAAATTCATTCTTAGTTGTTTCAATATCTTATGTAAATTCTATGAACTAAGCAGAGCAGTGATCCAAGCTATACAGGGCTCACTGCGACTTTGGGAGCAGCAAACCTGGGAATCTGGGGGGTGTCAACCCCCTGTTGCTCAGGACACTTGGGCTATGTCTACACTCGCGGCTTCTTGCGGGAGTAATATGTAAATGAGGCTAAGTGTGGAATATTGCCAAGCTTCATTTGCATACCTAATGAGCCACCATTTTTTTCAGAAGAGGCTCTTGCGCAAGAAGGAGCGTTTACACTGCCCCTTCTTGTGCAAGAAAAACCCTCTTGCGCAATGCCGTTCTTCCTGAAAAGTAATAGGTGTAACGGCATTGTGCAAGAGGGTTTTTCTTGCGCAAGAATGGGCAGTGTAGATGCTCCTTCTTGCGCAAGAGCCTCTTCTGAAAAAAATGGTGGCTCATTAGGTAT